CCCCAAAACCCCAAAACCCCAAAACCCCAAAACCCCAAAACCCCGTAAGGCCCTGACCTAATTGAACCGTGTATATATTGGTCTAAAAAATAGGTACATTCACAAAAACTTTTAGGCTTAATGGAATAAAAGCAGATAAAATATATAGCAAAATTAATGAGCCAATGAATTTTGATGAATATCTTAAGGCTCTAGTCTTAGAAGCGGAGCTGAATAAGGAGGGATACTGTCAATGAAACTAACACCCCCTTGATCTTCCTCTCTGATTTCCTTCCTTGCTCTGGTGTAGGACTCGTAGAGCTTTTCTTTGTTTGCCTTCGAGGATGTTCTAGTTGAAATTCTTACCATATACTGATCATGACTTATCCCAGTTCTTCTTTTTGGCTTAAACAAAGTAATTTTTGACGTTAGGACAAAGAAATTATCTATATCTACGTCATCTATGTGAGGTAAACTGTATCTTATGGTCCTTGAAGTTTGTCTGAGATCCTTAAAAATAGATTCACCATAGATTTGGAATCAATAACTTCGGCTGTATGGTGACATCAGGTTAAAGAAGTTATTTTCCTTTTAATAACTCACTAGATACATGGAATAGTTTTGCACTGTTCTTATTGAATGCATGCACAATACCGTGTATGTCACAAAGTATAACAGATACTTCTGTTTGGCAAGCTCCCTTTTCAGGCGTTGGCTCATGTTCCTCTATGTGTTCCTCTTCTGGCTGAATCCTAGCCTGTCTTTCAGTTTTTATTAATTTTTGCTCCAAAGTATCCATTTCTTTTTCCATATCGTTTCTACTTTTCTGGAAAATTCTAGAGAAATTAGGCACTATTGCCCTAAAAACACCTACCTCTTGAGATGGACAACCATAGGAATGAAGGAAAAGTCTCGTCTTTCAGCTTCTAATAGCCTTTTCTCCGGACACATTTGGCTTCTTCTTTTAACTTCTTCTGCCTCTAGTTCTTTATCACTATGCTTTAGGCCACTAAATTTTTGTGTATAGGTCCAGCCGTAGATCTCTTTAGCCCTCTGTGTGAGTAATTTTGCAAATTTCAAAAATTTATCGTACTCATTTTTAGTAAGGTCCTTATAAGGAAAGATACATGTTTCCATCCCTTCTACTATCTTTGTCCAATAACTGATGCCGTCAGCATTTAGTATGTCATCAAGATGTAGTTTCTCAGGTTTCTCCTGTGAAAATTTCTCAGTTAAGTAATCTAGCCGTAAGTACATGGCTTTAATATTATTTTCCTGTTTAGATGACTTCTCCATTTTTGCTTCCATTTATCTTAATATTTTATAATTCATCTAACCTACCCTCTGTGGGGTTTTGGGGTTTTGGGGTTTTGGGGTTTTGGGGTTTTGGGGTTTTGGGGTTTTGGGG